GCTCCCTCCTGCAAGGCCACTGCTGTGACTCTGAGCAGTGGTTCTTCTCGTGAATGTGACGGCTTCTGTCAGCCCTAAGATTGCAACCTGCAGGGGTTTCATGGGGCAACCCTGGGGTATGTGGCCAACGTCTGTCCTTGGGCAGCCGCAGCCCCTGTCAGGAACGGGAACTGCCACCCTGAGCTCCCACCAGTCTGGCACTGGTGTCTTGAGACTGCTGCGGTGTCAGGAAACTTCTATAAAATCTAGTGAGTTGTAAAAAAGAGGCCAGAGCCGGCCAGGCACGGTGGCTCATTGTCTGTAATCCCAGCATTTTGGGAGACCAAGGCGGATGGATCACCTGAGGTCAGGGCTTTGAAGCCAGCCTGGCCAACATGGTGAAACCCTGTCTCTACTAAAAATACAAAATTACCCAGGCACGGTGGCACGTGCCTGTAGTCTCAGCTACTTGGGAGGCTAAGGTAGGAGAATCACTTGAACCTGGGAGGCAGAGGTTGCAGTGAGCGGAGGTTGTGCCACTGCGCTCCAGCCTGGGCAACAAGAGTGAAACTCTGTCTCAAAAAAAAAGAAAAGAAAAAACAAAAAGGCCAGAGCCATCCTTTGCCTCGTATGTCAGAAATGGTCATTGCAGCTGCTTTGCTTTGGGTGGAAGCCTAAAATCCTGAAAGCGACAAAACCTTTCCCTAGGGGTAGTTTGTCTTGAGCTTCAAGCAACAGAAACCCATTTAGATCATTTTTAAATAATGAGAATTTCTGTTGAAAGGATGTCGGCTTAGCTCACACAATGTCTAGAAAGACTGGAAAATGGGTCTCAGAAACACTGCAGGCAGCTTTCTGTGGCAGGATCAGTCCTCCTCGGTGACTGCTCAGGAGAACATCCCATTTGCCTTGCATGGTACTGAGCCAGGAGGTCAGCTCCAGGCCTGTCCGCCTGTATCCGAGAAAACAGCAGCTCCCCACAATGAAATGCAGTGTTTTCCAGCTCCGAATCCTCCCGGCATCCTCCCTGAGATCTCCCTGACTTAGGATCTGTGAGATCTGCGGACTTGGCTTTTCCCAGGTGTCTGGTTACTGTTCACAAAACTCCAGCAACTTGGCCTGGTGTTGCCTTTGTTTTTGACTGAGCATCTCTCATTTCACAATTATTTATTGCAGCTGCACCTCTAAGCAATCCCAGGCCCAGGGATGGGCGTCGGTACTGGCCTCGAGCTGGTGCACAGCGCATCCCGGATGGAGGGGCGGGGCCGCACGGGTGCACACGCAAGCCTGAAACCAGATAGTAATTGATACCAGGGGAGCCGGTAGGGCTTTGTGCTCTACACAGTTAATGTGGGCAGGCTGTCAACAGGAAGGCACTGATGTCGTTTCCCTGATGTGTCCAGTTGTAGCTGGAATTGTCCTGAAATGGACAAGGCAGGTTTACTGGTGGGAGATGGTAGGAAGGAAGAATAGCACATAGAGGGCACCAGGGCCCTGTGAGCCTTGTCCCCAAGTGTTTCCTCATACCTCGTGCTTGCGCACCATGGTACGGGGCCACCCTGAGCTCTGATTCCTGAGCTGTGAAGTGGGAGGAACAGAAGCGCTGTAGGACTCCTGTCAGCCTTGTCGTCTGTCTGCATGGAAAAGGCCTTCAGCTGGGCATAGCAACTGGAAGCCTTGGCTTTTTATCAGAAAGCCCAGTTCTCAGGAAGCCCTCGTTACCTACTGTGCCTTGGGCTTTCTCCTCGCAAATTCCCAATCCTCCCACCCCACTGGGCCTGGGGACCCCACATCCCTGAAAGGGTCATGTTCCATCTTAATGTATATGAATCTTACTCTATGTGTCAGTTACATCCTAATGTGTTAAAAACTTACTCAAATTGTCAGAAGCCTGAAACAGGTGTCAGGAATCCTGTGTGAGGTAAGATGGGGGATCTGTTTGCACCTTCATCTCTCCATATGAGATCTTCCATACGAGATATTCCAGGAACCTCTGCCCCAGGCTCCGGCAAGGCAAGCCTGTAGGGGCAGCGACTGCCATGCAGGGGCTTGAATTTAAGTCCAAATTCTCTGGTGTGTAGGTGGACAGTTTCCTTCTGGGACTGAAGGAGCACATGGGAGATGGTGCTTTCCTTTCTAGAGCAAACCTTGGCACTGTCCCAGCTAAGCGCTTGCGCTCAGGGCTGGGAGTCTCCCGTGGCCTCCATATCCCTGCATCTCATGCAGGACACCTCACCCACTCCCAACCCCCCACCTCCGGCCATCGTGCCCGGCATCTTTTCCCAGCATGGGAACCCATTTGCTTTTCTCTTTTCCCACCTTGCCATGAAGGACCTGCTGCCAGGATTCGAGCCTCAGACCTCGGACAGGTCTCTTGGGCCCTCCTCAGCCATGCACTGCGTGCCGGTCATCAGGGAGGGTAAAGGGTGGGTTTCACCAACGAGAAAGGCAGCGCGTGTCGGGGAGGAAGCCGATCGCTAGGCAACCTGGAGTTTGTTACCCTGGTAACGGATCCATGCACTGATGATGCTGTGGATGGACATCTTGTGACAATGGCCTCTCAGGCTCCCCAGATGCATCGGCGGCTCTGGATTCCCACCTTGCGCCCAGCGTGGTTTTCCTGTGTGGCTCCTGTTTAGTGGACAGCTTGGATTTCTTATAATCAGGAACTGTCTCCAGTAACCATCTTGCCAGCACCCCTGAAAGTGAAGTTGGGGTGTTCCTCACCCTGCAGGAGCGATAGCCTGGGGGATGAGGCCAGGACTGCCAGGCCCCACAGGATTGTGCCCTCAGACCTCAAGTAGGGGGCCGGAAGAGTCTACTGAAAGAGAAAGAATCTTTTGGAATTTGGCAGTTGCACCATTTTCTTAGCAGCAGAGAGGCGCCCAGGTGGGAGCCATGTGTGTCGGGTTCCTTGTCGGGTGACGGTGCTGTTGTGGACCCCGCGGATGAGCTAAGGGGGCGTCCAGCTTTCTGCTGCATGCTTCCTGTCCACCCATACGGGTCGTGGGCTGGCGAGGACGTGGGGGCGTTGACCCTCGTCCCTGCCTTATTTTCCCCCCGCCCTGCCCTGTTTTCCTGGTGCAGATTCATGCGGACACCCCGCTTTGGGGACCTGGGCATTGGGGCAGCAGCAGGAGTGACTGGGTGCACGTGTGCCCTTGGTGTCTGAGCGTCGGGTGCGGCTGCCTCTCAGGGCTGAGAGGGACTACGATTTCTCCCAGCCAGGGGTGGCAGGAGAACTGCACATAGCTTGGGGACCATGCAGGGCTGGCTGTGGCCCTGGCTCCCCCAGCCCATTCTTCTGAGGCTGGGACAAAAGCCTTTTTTGTACTTTGCGTTCAAAGAGACGATTGTCCCAAGGCCCAGTTGCGGGTGCCCTGGGCCGTCCCTCCCCAGCACTGTGTCTAGTCTTAACAAGACGTAGGCTCCAGTGGAGGGGGATTTTCTTCCTCGGCTCCTTACTAGAGTGTGTGGCTAACTGAATATGAGCCCTGGTGGTCCAGCAGGAGCCCCCCCATGGCTGGGGTCCCGATCACCGTCCCCACCAAGTGGCCAGCTTGGGAACTACCAAGAGCCCTTGAGGAGGTTAGGGCTGGAAGGTGGCAGCCACACAGATGAAGCTGGCCTTCGCGGAAGACTCGTGCTTTTGTTTGTAGGACCCTGAGCCTGCTGCCTTGTGGTCAAAGGCCAGCGATTCCAGGAATGTCGCACCTTCCTGGTTGGGTTACCCATGGTGGGTCACCAGGCTGGGCCCAGCCTGGAGCAGCGGCCTGAACCGGCCCGCCTCGGAGGGAGGGAGGGAGGGAGGGAGGGAGGGAGGGGACAGGGATGTAAGGCCGCCATCAGGGCTGATCTGGACGTCTGAAAGCTTGATGAGCCCCAGAGCTTTCATCTGAGGTTGAAGAGTTCTCATTTGACAGGAAAAGAGACATTGCCCCTTTCTGGCGTCTCGGCGGATTGCACCTCTGGAACTCAGATGCCGTTCTCTTGTATCCAGGGTGTGGGTCGTGAAGATCTGAGGTTTGGGCGGATGGTCAGGAGGACCTACAACATCCAAGGATGGATTTGAAGGGGGCCGTTTTTCTTGGAGAAAATGCTGCTTCTCTGTCTCTGAGGTCTTCAGAGCCGGCTGGGTTTGCTGCACAGAATAGTGAGAGAAAAGAGGCCCTGGGGCTCTCGCTGCGTCCTGGGAGGGCCCTGCAGGGTGTCTGCCCTGTGTGTGCACGGGGCGCAAGCATGTGCGTCTGTGGTGTGGCAGGTGAAGGCCTTCCACCACTCTGCTGAACATCTAGATGCAGCCTTGCTGGTCCAGATGAAGTTGCTAGAGAACTTGGACTTGGACTTGTGGGAAGGACCACTGGGGCCCTTCCTGGGGTCACCCCTGCCCCTCTGCCCTCACAGCTGTCCCTTCACCTTGTTGGCAGCACCAGGAAGTCTGTCAGGGTTAATATGATGGCTCTGGCCTGTCTAGAGAGCTGCTTGCTGTGTGGTCCTTTGAGAAGTTTGCTCTCCTGAGCCCCCAGAGGCCTCCTGCCCTCAGGCATACCTTCCCTGCCCCAGACTCACCATTTCTTCCCACCTAGCGCAGGTGAGAAGGGCTGGAGGAGCCTGCCCAGGGCACTTGTTTATGCAGGGCCTCTCCAGGAACGCCTTACCCCCGTCACATTGTGCCAGGGCAGCTGGTGCCGGTGCAGGTGGGGAGGCACGTGGCGTGGGGGCCCATCTTGTGCTGGACTATCCTGTGCTGGCCTCGGGGCCCCATGGTCCTGAGGCTCTTGGGACTGTGGTCTGCTGGCAGGGAAGCAGCCATGTGCATCTCCAACCAGAGCCGCAAGTGGATCGGAAGTGGGGATGGGGTCCCCTGTTCGTGACAGTGGCTCGCCGGGAGGTGATGCGGGTGGAGGTGGGGCCCTCGCTGCTCCGCCGCCCTCACTTGCCCAAGCCCTGCCCACAGTGATGAGTGGGGAGCTGCCCCTCCAGCCACCCACCCACTGTGCTCACCCCTTCCCTCCTTGCAGGTATCCGCCCCCAGATCATGAACGGCCCCCTGCACCCCCGCCCCCTGGTGGCGCTGCTGGACGGCCGCGACTGCACTGTGGAGATGCCCATCCTGAAGGACCTGGCCACTGTGGCCTTCTGTGACGCGCAGTCCACACAGGAAATCCACGAGAAGGTGGGCCCACCCTGCCCGGCCACGGGCTGCCCTGACCTTGCGCAGTTTCCTCCCCGGCCCTCCCCAGCATCCCCCCATTTAGGTCGCCCCGAGTCACCAGCAGGCCCCAAAACCTCTGTTCCCTGCTTTCCTACTGAACTCCTCTGCCTCGGGTTCAAGGGCAATAGGGCCAGGAGACCAGGCCCAGTGGCGCCGGTGGGCTGCCCGGGGTGGGGCTCCGACCCTGTGCTCTGTTCCCACGCAGGTTCTAAACGAAGCCGTGGGTGCCATGATGTACCACACCATCACCCTCACCAGGGAGGACCTGGAGAAGTTTAAGGCCCTGAGAGTGATCGTGCGGATAGGCAGTGGCTACGACAACGTGGACATCAAGGCTGCCGGCGAGCTCGGTGAGTGCGAGGCAGCGCTGGCTGCCTGGAGTTGTGCGAGCTCCGTGGGCCCTGCTTGGGTGGGCTCAGAGAAGCAGCTGGAACTGGGACCACGGAGCAGCCGCTTCTGGCTGTAGCAAGGTGGCTGCCTGCAGGCCGGGCTGTGGAGCACCTTGCCGGCCCTGCCTTCACATGGCGCAGGTAGGATTGTCCCTGCTGGCTCCTGTGTGGGGTCTGCTGGGCTGTGATGATGCATCTCTGCCCTCAGGGCAGCACCGAGCTGCTGCTGGCTCCATCTGGAAACACCCAGTGCCACCTCCAGAGGGGAGAATGCGACTGGCCACGTGTCCCCTAAACCACGCTTGCTGGGTGCATCCCCTAAACTACCCCAGCTGGGTACACAGCTCCAGACCCCTGTCCCACAGGAACGGGGCCTCCCTCTCTGGGAGGGCAGCCCTAGCAGCATCGGACCCAGGTCGGCACCAAAGCAAGGTAGACCCCCTGCCCAACACAGCAGACGACAGAGGCTTCCAAAGAAAAGCAGAGGCACAGGCGCGATCCCGGAGTTGGGGGCGTCAAAGCTCATTGCACCCCCAGCCACAGGCGCTGGGGCCGTGTTGAGGGGCCTCTGCCTGGCACCCGGTGTGAGCCCGTGAGGGCTGAGTACAGAGGCACGAGGAGCAGACTGCTGTCATCGAGCGTCCTCGGGAGAGGGCCAGGTGGCCGCTGTGCTTGCTCTGTGTTTGGAACATGCTACCCCTGCACTTTGGAGTGGGAGCTGTACTCTGCCTTATGAGTGCTCAGGTGCCCCAAATTCATGAGGCTGCTAAGGGATACTTCAGAACCACTCGGAACCCAGGCACAGTGGTCCAGACAGCAGCCTGGCCTCGGAACAGCCCTTCCTGTGCTCCAGGAATAGCCTGAGCGCCATTTCCCCACCTCTGTCCCATAGGCTGAGGCCCCAGCGGTCCCCGGTGCTTCCGGGACGGGCTGGGTGTCAGATAGTCTCTGAGCAGAGCACAACATACGTCTGAATCCTGCCCTCGGGCACCGCCGGCCACGTTTTCAGGGAGGCCACCCCCATCGGCTCCAACTTTCTCTCCACAACCCTAGCCTGGGGTCGGAATCTTAGCTGAGTCCCTCACTGCCATTCGGGGCAGCACCCGGGTACCAGAAGCACTGAGTGGGTCTTGGTGTCAGGAGCAGGGCTGGGGAGCCGGGCCGTGGTGGAGCTGTCCATGTACTCACAGGGGTCGGGACACAGTGGGGTGGGGCCGCCCCACAGGCAAATCCCAGAGCAAAAGGCCAGGGAAGGAGCGAGGGTCACTGAGATCCAGACCCCTTAGGGTCCTGGAAGCAGCAGCTTCACACATCCACCCCTCGCCGTCCCTGCGCCCCTCGCTTGCTACCAGCCATGGCTTCCTTCCGAGCCGCTCCATTGGAACAAAGACACTCCGGAAGATGTGAGTCTTCAAAAGCGTGTTTAATATAAACTAAAATTTTCCATCTTTCCCTGGCACAAACAAGGATATTTTTGTTTGAAAACAAATGTCCTTTGTGCTCTTGGTAGAGCTGAAATCCCAAGTTTGAACAGCAGAGAAGAATACAGCTTCATGTGCCAGGGGCTCTCAAATCCTTGTCCCCACACACCTCTTGCTTCTCCAGCACGTCTGCCCCTCGCCTCCCAGCTCCCAGGCCCACATGGGTGCTGACCCTCACCTTCCTCAGCTGGACCAGCAGCTGCTTTCCAGGGAGAGAGGGTAGGTCCTTGCCTGTGGAACTTTCTATTTCTCCATTTCTAGAAGGGCCCCACACGGGCAGTGGGGCTAGAAAGGCACCAGGGCCTCAATGACGGGGGGCCCAGGAGGGCCGAGATGGGAGGTTGTGTTCCCTGAGTTCTGAGACCCACAGAAGACGACCAGGACCAGGGACTGCGGTTTTGGAAAATGTTGAAGGGCTGTGAGTGGTGGATTTTCATTGATCCTGGTCCCATCTGATAAGGTCGCTTGGAAGACATCTGTGGGGCCCTTTTGAAGGGCACTTTTCAAATGTAGACTCTGGAGGCGGAAAATGAGCCTCTGTCCAGACGTCCTTTGTCTCCGAAGGCATTGCCCACATCATGCGGTCAGCGGGCCTTTTGTGCTGAGGGCTGGGAGCGGCAGGTGGCTGCAGGCAGGCCCTCCTCCTGATGTGAAGGGGGTCCCTGGCAGGCCCAGAAAACAGGGCCCTCCATGTTGGACGAGGCAGCACACTAGGCCTCTGGTGAAGCCTTCCGGGATCGCAAGGTTCTGAGCCATCAGCTCTGGAATGACGGGCGAGAGTCAGCCCTTGAGGAAGCTGCTCACCTGCACTTCTTCCCACGAGCCAGGAAGACACGGAAGACACGAGGGGAAGACCTCGAGAGGCCCTACACCCCTCCCCACCCCCGCCGCCTCCAGCAAGCTGGTTGATCTGGTTCCCGTGCCAGTGGCAGTCCTGAAGGGATGAAAGCACCATGGCACTGACCGTGAGAGCAAAGCAGCTTGCCTCTCTGGTGCCGTGTTTCAGGCTCCATGGACACTGGGAGGCCCAGCCTGTGAGTATCAGAGCCGCCCATCGTGTGGCACTTGAAGGATCAGCTTGACTCATCCAGAAGGGAGGCTGCATCCACGGAGCGTTGTAGGACAGCTAGGACGCTCCCTCCGAGAGGGCGGTGAGGTTATGGAGGTTCCTGGCCGTGGCGCCGCTGCAGTGGGGCTGGGAAGGTTCTTCCATCCCAGGCAGTGGCTGCAGCTCTTCCTCCTGCGCCCTCTCCCCGTCCTGGGACTCTGCACTCTGGTGAGCACTGGAACCAAGGAGCTGGATGTCCAAGTTCAGTGAGAAGACTGACCGGATGTCCTGCTTCAGCCTCCCTTTTTGTGCCCCACCCACCCGGGGGCCTTTACACAGGTGGCCTTGCGGGGTCTCAGCTGGCATCATCCCATGTTCTAGGAGGAGCTGCTGCTGCTCACGCCGGGCAGCATGGCCAAGCCCCGGCCGCAGCATGGAGCCAGTGTCCTTGAGGGTGATTCTGCTGCGGGGCCCCCTGCTGGGCTTTAGCCCGCCCGAGGAATGCAAATTCTCCCAACCGCCAAAGATTGTCTTCAACCTCTGGCATCGGCCTCAGTCTATCTGACTCTAATAATAACATGGCATGTGATCAAGCCCCAGCTTCTCTGCTGAGCTATTTCAAATGAACGAGGCCCGTTTCCTGCAAGATTGCTGGCATCCAGCTCGTGGGAAAGTTGGTCGGCCTCAGTCACAGTCAGCCACACTGTTCCCTTGGCAGTTGTCTGTGGCCCGGAGGAGCCCTCGGTGGCCACGTTGGGTGGGTGGGTGACCTGCTCACGGTGGCTTCACCTTCTCTGAGCTGTGTGTCCTGCTGAGGGGGGGTCACTCTCAAGACCCTAGACCTAGGGGTGGCCCTCTTGGGGAGACAGCCATGCTGCTGTCTAGAAAGTGGGTTTGCGGCGCCCACTGCTCTTGTTCCCTGTCCAGTAGAGCCCAAGAAGCTGCCTTGGTGGTCGCTGTCCCCACTCCCATCTTCAGGACTTGATAGAGGAATCGTGGGTTGGTTTAAAGGTGGCCCTGTCCCGGTGCCTTGGGCAACCCTTGTTGGGAGAGGCACTCTCCTAGGGGGTCCCAAACCTGAGATTAGGAGGGAACCTTTTCACCTGGTCTGACGTGGTGCCCAAACAACCACACCCCTCCTCAGAGAGCTCAACTGGGAGCCACAGGCTGGCTGCTGAGCCCACCCCCTGGGGCCCCACCCCTGGCTCGGCCCTCTGGTCTCTGCTGCAAGTAGGCGTCTGGTTCTCCACCTGTTGGGTGGTAGGGAGGGGCCGCTCCTGGCCTGGCCCTCTGCCTCCTTGCACCCCTGTTGTATCTGGCATTCATTCATTCTTCCCCAGACGCCCTCTGGCTGTGGAGGGTAAATGTCAGGGCCCTTTCTGCCTATTGTGGGTTAACTCTCCACGCCACAGTTGCCTTGTGCTGGGAGATACTTGACCCTGGTCTCTGCAGCTCGGAGGGGGCCAGAGGGCTCACCCCAAGCCGCGCTTGGCCCTGAAGGCTGCTCCACGGGGCAGGGAGGGCATCGTGTCTGGTCTAGTTCTTCCCCCCAGCGCAGGGTGCTGAACACAGGGCCACAGGATGACTGTGCACACGCTTCCGACATCAGTTCTGTCCCAGGGCTAGCCCTTGCATCCATGTGGGGGTGGAACAAGTATGTTTAAAACGTATGTTTTTTGCATCAAACTGTTAGCATACCTTAAAACCAAAAGCCATTCTTTGTCACCCCTGCCGGCTCTGTGAGGAAGACCCTGAGGGGTTTGAGCCTGAGTGGGGTCCATTTGGAGGAGTCTGGTCTCACCAGACTTACCACTAACTTGCTGCCACTCCAGGTCCTTTCTTGGGACTCAGCACAAGCCCGGGAGGAAGCCAGTCAGGCCCGAGATCAGCCATAGGAGTTGGGCTGTTCGTGAGCCACGTCCTGGAGCAAAAGTCCTCCTTGGGAGGGAGGGCGGACGTTCGGGCTGGAGCCTCCCGAGCATCAGAGCCTGAGGGCCTGCCACCCACGTGCCCAGCCCCGCGTCTGCTAGACGATAAGATGGGCCTCCCCCCGTGCCAACAGCCCCGTGTCAGGAGGGCAGGCTGGGAGCCCTGGGGCTTCCCCACTGATCTTGAGGTTTTGTCATCTCCGGCCTTGGCCTCGTCCCTTTTAGGAATTGCTGTGTGCAACATCCCGTCTGCAGCCGTGGAAGAGACGGCGGACTCTACCATCTGCCACATCCTCAATCTGTACCGGAGGAACACGTGGCTGTACCAGGCACTGCGGGAAGGCACGCGGGTGCAGAGCGTGGAGCAGATCCGAGAGGTGGCCTCGGGAGCGGCCCGCATCCGTGGGGAGACGCTGGGCCTCATCGGCTTTGGTACGTGCCACCCTCTGCATCCATCCCCGCCCCCTCCGACGCGGGCTGGCGTAGTGGGGACCCCTCGGGAAACGCAACCCCAGCCTGCTCTTGAGGAGTCCCCAGGGCGGGCAGGGCCAGCCCCCTCCCTGTGTCGCACAGGGTAGGAGATCGGAGTCAACACCCATCAGGGAACTCGCCCCAGAGGCAGGATCTGGGCTGGTTGGGGAAGAATGCGTGTCCGCTGCTGTCTGCGGTGTCTGGCAGGACAGCATTCTCTGCTGTGGGGCAGCAGGCAAGGCACCGCGCCCAATAAATTTCCCTGGGCAGGGGTGAAGGGCAGAGGCTGTATGGAGCTGTGTCGTGGAGAAGCAGCCAGGCTTGGGGCTCAAGTAGGGGCTGGCGGTTTAGTGGACTATGGGCATGGCCTCACTCCTGAAGGCCTTCAAATGCCAGGTTGGGGTGGCAGAGTCAGGCCATCAGCTTGGAAAGCTCCTGAGAGAGGGCCAGGAAAAGGAGACACGTGGGGAGAGGCCCCAGGAGGGTCTTCAGCAAGGTGGTGGGGGGCCGGTGCCAAGGAGAAGGTGACGATAAACAGCCTGATTCCACGGGGGCTCGAGGAGGCCCCCACCCTGCTCACCATCAGGGTCCACACCACACCCAGGAGACCTCAGCCCGTTGCCACTGAATCTCAACACCACCACTTACCAGCTCTGTGGCCTTGTGGGAATTACCTGAGCTTTTTGCCTCAGTTTCCCAATCTGTAAGTAGATATTTGGTGGGATACATGGTATCTGCCTTTTGGGACTCCAAGAAGGCACGTGTGCACACGGGGCCAGTAATGTTCTGGCCTCCGGGAGACTCCCAGCTGCTGCTCAGCCTCTGCTTGGAGCTCCGCACCTCCGGGGATGAAGCTCCCGTGCTCCTCTCCCCACGAGCCCTGCCCTGGACCTGGGGTGCTGCTTGAACGAGAGCGAAGTTGCTGGACGCTTCCAGGAGTGTACATCTTTCTGTCCCCTCTACAGGCCACTATCTCCTGGGTCTGGCCTCGCCTGGGGTCTGAGTTGAAGTGCCCGGTACTGGGGATTTTTTAAAGGACCCACCGTGTTTTGACTTTGTTGGAAAGGTAGAGGTGGCATGAACACCAGGCTCCCTCTGTCCAGGCCCCACTGGGCCTCGTGGCTCGGAAATGCTGCTTCATCTCCATCTTCGTATACTCTGAAGCCCCCCGGAGCCTCGGTGGTCTCTGGCCAGGCTGCATAGCCTGGGACCATGTGGTCATGAGTACCCTGGGTGCACGGTGGGGCCTCACTGGGGAAGTGCTTGTTTCAGGGGCTTCTGACTTCTTCCTGGGGTTGTTCCTGTGACTCTGCCCTTGTCATTCAACTTTAAAAACCCTCTCGGTGTATGGAGGCCAGTTCAGCCCCCAGCCACCGCCCTGTTTTCTCAAGACTGTACACTAACCACTGCTACCACCACCCTGGGTCCCCAGCACAGGGGCTGTCATGGTCTCTCCTTGCTCCCTTTCCAGGTGTCTCTGTAGCCTTCAGGACTGTTGCTGCCGCAGCCATCCTGGGCTAAGAGCTTTTGCTGACCTCGGGTTCCACTGAGCAAGAGTCCCCCAGGCCCAGCTGGCTCAGGGCAGCAGGCGGGTGGGGCGTTGCTGCCAAGAGAAGGCAGCCTGGGGCTGGGGGCATGGACAGAAACTGAAGGAAAGGTAGCCTGTGGGAGCTGTGCTTTTTAAAAGGTGGTGTAGGGTAGTGGGGGAGTAGGTCTCTTCTGTAGGGAATGGGTTTTGATGAAGTCAGTAGCAGGATTAAGTCATTAGGTCGTCAGAAAATCTCGGATAAAGTTCAAGGGGTTTGTGAACTTGGGGAAAAAAACAAAGAAATAGGACCCAGCCCCCGTCGGCACGGTTGAAATCTGGGCTTGGTGCTCTGGGCTGCTGTTCCACAGGCCCTCCAGGCCCTGGATCTGCAGAGTGTGAGCCCCGCTGATTGAAGCGTGTTCGTGCACAGACACCATGAACGGGGATGGCGGCTGCAGGAACAGCAGTTGCATGCTGGGGTCCTCAGTGTCATGTTGCCAGTGCGTCAGAGAGCCATCTCTCTCTCCGTCCCTGCCACCGTCCAGTACTGCCTGCTCCAAGGGGTGACACTGATGAGGGGAGGCGTGATGGTTCGTGCCTTGCTATGCTAGTTGCCCTGCAGCTGTCCCTGATGAGACTGGCCTTATTCAACCTTTGTTCTAACTGCGGCAGTTGTCCTAGCCAGGCCGTCAGTTAGATGGAGCTGCTGCAGGAGGAGCCATCCAGCGTTGAGGTACCCCTGGAACACGGGCTGCCTGCTCGGAAATGCGCATCTTTGTCTTTCTCCCGCCTGCACCTTGGAACCATGGCTTTAAAGATTCCTTCTGTGATCTCCAGGAGAACCCAGTCGAGCATCAACACTAACCATTTTGTTTTCAAAATGCTGACAATTGCTCTGGGAAGCTGGAGGTGCTTTCGAGGGGACCGCATGGGTTTATGAAATGACAGCTGTTGGGGAGTGGGAGACACCTCCTCATCCTGTGACACAGCTGGCGGGAGGCCCAGGCTGCATACTTGCAGATGGGCACGAGGCCCCACCAGTGGGACAGGTCCAGGCCTAATGGTCACCTGCCCTGCCTCCCGCCCAGAACACAGTAGCACGTGGCCAGTCTGCACTCGGGCCGGCCTGCAGGGAGCCACTGTGTTCATGTCACCCTTTGCAGGAGCGAGCCCAGCGATGAAGAGGCAGGACATCACTCCCTGTTATATTGAGAGCAAGTTTTTCAAACACAAAGTTCATGTTAAGAAGCCTGCAATGCACACAAGAAGTGTGGAGAGGAGTGGGGACAGAGGACACGGGTGGTGATGGGAGGGGCATGTAGGCTTGTCAGAACACTGTAATTGTGTTTGAAAATGTCAGTAACAAGTAAGGGTTGTTTTGTTTTGTTTTTAACAAAATTCCTGCTGTGGCCAATATAAGCAGCAAGCACTGCGGTCCTCACCTGTCCTACATCGGCCATGGTGGCCCCTCGCGGGCAGTGCTCGACTCAGGCCTAAGCTTTGGGCACACAGTTTCTCCGGCAGCAGCTACCAGCAGGGATGGCAAGCCCGGACTCAGCTCAGACGCAATGGAGGTGGCAGCGCTGGGGTGCGGGCTGTGGACTCACTCACCTGGACGCTCTGTTTCTGTACAGGTCGCACGGGGCAGGCGGTTGCAGTTCGAGCCAAGGCCTTTGGATTCAGCGTCATATTTTATGACCCCTACTTGCAGGATGGGATCGAGCGGTCCCTGGGCGTGCAGAGGGTCTACACCCTGCAGGATTTGCTGTATCAGAGCGACTGCGTCTCCTTGCACTGCAATCTCAACGAACATAACCACCACCTCATCAATGACTTTACCATAAAGCAGGTAATTTGAAAACAGATGCCATGGACGCTTCTGTCGAAAGGTGGTAGCACTTGCTGGTGGGCACAAGAGGGACATGGAGGGCAAGGGAGATGGTTTCTGGATACAATTGAGCAGGGAAGAGACCTGCAACACACCAGAGACAAGTCAGGTGAAGCCCTTCCTCAGCTGAGCCAGGCTAAGCAGAGACGGACAGGCGCTAGCCAGGACCCAGCTTCACAGGCTGCCCAGAGCCTGCCAAGAGGCCCGCAGCTCGGCACAGTCCAGCCTCTCCACCGTGTTGCTTCCTGTCAGGATCAGCAGAAACAGCCCTGGCTTCCAGCCATCACCAAAACTTCCCGCTCCCTTCCCTCAAACTGCAGCACACACATTAAACCACTTAGACCAATAAAACTCCTGGCTTGCGGCTTTCTTCTTTAAACCTTGGTACAAGAGTCTTCCACCATGCCAGTGTGCCTGTAACCGGCTTTTCTTTCCTTCCACAGATGAGGCAGGGAGCATTCCTTGTGAACGCAGCCCGTGGCGGCCTGGTGGACGAGAAAGCCTTAGCACAAGCCCTCAAGGAGGGCAGGATACGAGGCGCGGCCCTCGACGTGCATGAGTCGGAGCCCTTTAGGTGCGTGTTGCCCCGGCTGCCTCCCAGCAGCCCACAGGGCCCAACTCCACACCTGACCCTCACACTTTGAACTTGAGGCCCTTTTCCCAAACAGGTCCCTGGGCAGGAAACTCCAGAGATGACATTTACAGTCTCTGTTTTTCTAAGGATTGTGCTGTATTCTAATCGTAAAAGGACTGGAAGTTTCCCAAAGGTCATCCGGGAAAGGAGAGGCAGAAAATTGGTGGTGGTGGCGGTGGTTCTGGTCTTTAGACAGGCGTCATCTCTGCCCTGGATTAGAGCAGGACAAGCGTTCAATAGAATTGGACTTTTTGATCTACCAATTACAGTTCTTACAGAATTTTAATAATTACATTCAACCCAGCCTTCATAAAATACCATCACAGATGTTCCTGTATCCACGCTATCTATGCAGCTACTTTCCTACACGGCCAAGAGCTCCCTCATGCTGAGGAGGGCAGGGAGGGTATGCAGCGTTTCCCGCTTACTCTTTTTTCTACATTTTTCTAGCTTTGCTCAGGGTCCGTTGAAAGATGCACCGAATCTCATCTGCACTCCTCACACTGCCTGGTATAGCGAGCAGGCATCACTGGAGATGAGGGAGGCAGCTGCCACGGAGATCCGCCGAGCCATCACAGGTGAGCACCTCCGTGCCTCTGGCCTGCCAAGGGCAGCCTCAGTTCCACAGTCCAGCCGGCTCCCATCCTGCTGGCTACAGGTGGCTCTTAACAGGTGGAATTCATTTTTAGCACCAAATGTATATGACTGGGGCTCTGTTGATTTATGTAAGCCCTGAACTAAACTTCAGAGAAGGAACCATTCCCTTTAGGCCCAGACATAAACTCAGGGGTTCGGGCGGGGCAGACAGGCTGAAGGTCAGTGTTGAAGAGCTCAAGCACTTGGGCCTTTGGATGTTTTACGTTTTCACAAATGCTTATTTCCCCACATAAGCAGCTACAGGTGTAATGTTAAACTTCTTGTGATTTGTAAAAATATGATATTTTAATCATCTTACCCTAGGTCGCATCCCAGAAAGCTTAAGAAACTGTGTGAACAAGGAATTTTTTGTCACATCAGCGCCTTGGTCAGTAATAGACCAGCAAGCAATTCATCCTGAGCTCAATGGTGCCACATACAGGTGAGAAGAGGAACTGACTGTATCTCAGCCTGTGAGCACCACACCCCGGGGCCCGGGAGAGAAGCCCAAACTTGGTGGGAAGCTTACCTCCCGCAGATGCTACAGCAGGGCCACAACAATTGGCCTTCTCAGCAGGAACTGTGTGCACTGCCCCCTCAGGTCTTCCAATGCCTAATTTCATGGAACAGAAGCTATTTTAAAAGGGAGTGGGTTCGGTCACATGTGATTGACCACAGGTGCTAGGAACTGCCTTTCATTCTAAAGCCATCTTAGAACCAAAAGGCTTCTCAGCCACGCGTGGTAGCACACACCTGTAATCTCAGCTGCTAGGGAGGCTGAGGCGGGAGAGTTGCTTGAACCTGAGAGGTGGAGACTGCAGTGAGCCGAGATCACCCACTGCCCTCCAGCCTGGGCCACAGAGTGAGATAACCCCGCCTCCCGCTCCCCCAACCACCAAAAAAAAAAAAAAGGCTTCTCAAAGAGAAAGGCTTATATAGATAAGATGTTCAAGTGCACAGGTCTGTGAGCAAGTTCATTTTCTAATTTGAATCTTATGTCCACGGAAGGCATTCTGGCCAGTGAAGGTACAATCAACTCAGGATAATGACCTTGTCCACATGCTAAGAATGATGCCTGTAGTTTGGGTCAGCCGAGAAACGAGCCGTACTCGGGAACGCAGAGTGGGGTAAAGACAGGAGCCCTCCCAGGGAGGTGGTTTCTTTTCCGGTATTTCCCATCCACGAGTCAGTTTTCTCCCACCCCCTACCACCCCCATCCCCACATTATTGCTGGAGTCCCAGGAAATCAGTAGCCCCTTCATGCATAAAGTTGCAGCCTTGAATCTTAAGAAAAATTTTTACATACTCTAAACCAGGGTTTCTAGCTCTTGGCAATAGATACATTTGGGGCCGATCATTCTCTTCATTCGCCTGGCCTGTGCATTCTAGGACGTTTAGCAACATCCCTGGCCTCTACCCACGGGATGCCAGTAGCACCTCCCACTCCCACTCATGATGATTGCAAATGTTTCCAGACATTGCCACACGTCCCCTGCTATAGCCATAGTGATGACCAGGGTGCGTTTAGTTTGTGTAATGAAGGCTCCGACCCTGAAGCAGCTATGCGGTGCTAGCAGGTCACGTGGCTGTCTTCACATTTCCTCCAGTCCCATCCTTTTGGTCCTCACAAGTATTTTCAAGCCCATCATAGCATCAGATCCCCCTGTTGGGTGAAGTTGGGGGCCCACCTCTTCATGTCACCATTGTATTTATCCTTCACGTAAGCCGGGGCTCTTCGGCCCCCTGGAACAGTATATGTGCACTGAGGAAGGGACTGGAAGGGGACCCTCATGACCAGAGTCCTGCTGAAGGTCTTGGGGATTTCTGACTGGTGGTGACAGGATGGCAGGGTGGCTTCCACAGTGAGATGCCTCCTCTACCTGGATGATAAAGGGTTTGGGAACTATGCCCTGCCTCCTAAGTCTGTGTGAATACACTGAGTCCCACTTTGCCCGAGGACCTTATGTTCTGTGGGTGGTGAATGCAGTATGTCCTCACACAGCACCTCGTGCTTGCAATATAAAACCAGCCCAAGCCTGGGCGTTCTGAGGAAGGCGGCCCCCCAGCCAACAGCCAGCAAGCATACCACTTCCCATCTCAGGCCATGGGAGTCTATAACCAACCAGCCTAGAAAGTTGAGTGAGTTCTGGCTGCCATAATTGAGTAGCATTGACTGGGTGGCTTGCAAAGAAATGTCTTGCAGTTCTGGAGGCTGGAAGTCTGAGATGAGGCTGCCATCATGGTCAGGTTCCGGTGAGGGCCAGGCAGCTGACCGTCAGCTTCTTCCTGCATCCTCATATGGCAGAGAGAGGGCCAGAGCACTAACTAGACTCCCTTCTCTAAGGGCACTCATCCCATTCATGACCCAGGCATTTCCTGACCAGTCACTTCCCAAGGGCTTTACCTCTTAAGGTCATCACCTTGGAGGTGTGGGATTTGAACTGGAATTAGGGGGATGGAGGGAGACAAACATTCAGTCCCTAAGAGTCCATTGTGCTCTGTTGGGAAATCATTTTATCAGTCAGAAGTAACTGGTGAACACTTGGGAGTCCATTTTGTACAGAGTGTTTTTTTTAAACAGTAGAGTATATCCACATTCATAATTAGTATGGGCTAGTATCTTGTTATCTAAAAGCTACAAAATTAGTGGCCCCGTGTTTTGATTGGACTAGTTTTTATAAATTAGTTGGCAGTGTTTGAGACTTCTCCTTGCTTTGGGGATAGGGAGGATAAACTGTCCCATAAAAATTGTTAGCCAGGGCCGGGCGCAGTGGCTCACGCCTGTAATCCCAGCACTTTGGGAGGCTGAGGTGGACGGATCACAAGGTCAGGAGATTGAGACCATCCTGGCCAACATGGTAAAACCCCGTCTCTAACAAAAATACAAAAATTAGCTGGGTGTGGTAGCGTGCACCTGTAGTCCCAGCTACTCGGGAGGCTGAGGCAGGAGAATCACTTTAACCCAGGAGGCAGAGCTCACGCCACTCACTGCACTCCAGCCTGGCAACAGGGTGAGACTCTGTCTCAAAAAAAAAAAAAAAAAAAAAAAAAAATTTATTAGCCAGGCGTGGTGTCTCTAGCCTGTACTCCCAGGACTCTGGGAGGCCTATAGGGGGGAATCACTTGAGCTCAAGAGTTTGAGACCAGCCTGGACAGCCTGGCAAAACTGCCTGTCAGAATGCTAGAAGTAGGAAAAGAGCTAAGAGCTTGGCAACTCTGCCCTCAACTTACTAGGCCCTATTTCTGTGTGTTCCTTAGATATCCGCCAGGCATCGTGGGGGTGGCTCCAGGAGGACTTCCTGCAGCCATGGAAGGGATCATCCCTGGAGGCATCCCAGTGACTCACAACCTCCCGACAGTGGCACATCCTTCCCAAGCGCCCTCTCCCAACCAGCCCACAAAACATGGGGACAATCGAGAGCACCCCAACGAGCAATAGCAGAGAATGCCAGAAGGTAATCATTCAGATACACTTGGGACCAAGAGACAGTGAAAAATAGATGAACTAAGAGAAAAAGAATCTGATGGTCTTTGTAACTGATTCTGGACATATGCATCATTGATGTTGCAGTGTTAAAACTACAAGAGCTAGAAAACTGAAGATGTCGTCTGCTTACGGAAGCGCTGAAAGACTAGGATGTGATTTATTAACGACCAACTTCTGTTATTGTGTGTTAAGTTTTTCATCTGTGCATCAAATCACAAAGAATAAATAGAGCTTTTTCCTTTCTCAGTCCCTTGGGCACAGCAGGTCCTGAACACCCTGCTCTACAATGTTGCATCAGGAGTTCAAACAACAAAATAAAAAATATTAAGAGGAAATCCCCATCCTGTGACTTGAGTCCCTTAAGTCTACAGGGGCTGGAGACCTCTTTTTGCTAATAGGAAAATCACATGACTACAAAATGGGGAGAAAACTGTTTGCCTGTGGTAGACACCTGCACGCATAGGATTGAAGACAGTACAGGCTCCTGTACAGAAAAGCGTCTCTCACACCTGAACTGCATACTGAGCGGGCAAGTTGGTTGTAAGTTCAGTAAAACCCTCTGATGATGCAAAAAAAAAAAAAAAAAAAAAAGTATTAAGTTTCACAAGCTGTTTGTACTCAAATATATTTTCTCAGTTTCAGATCCTCTGCTATTTTATTGAGTGGAAAGTCTTGAGCTGAAAGGGTTCAAGAAGAATAATGTTGCATTTCCTTATGTCTCAGGAAACACTTTTTATGGTAACTTGTCAGATTGTCTATGAACAAACCCACTTTTTTAGACATTGATAAAGTCTTCTTTTCTTCACGTGATATTTTATACAAGAACACTTCAGATGTATTAGATGTGACTGATTTTAACAAATCCTATTAGATTTGTATCAGCTAGTTCCATGTTCTGCTCATAGTCTTTTGTGAATCATTGCCTTTTTGTTTAAAAAGATGGCCTATTTTGAGCCTTTGTATAGGTACATTCCTGTTTTTGTGACAAAAGAAAAACTTTAAAATTGTCCCAAACAGAAAAATAATGGCTATCAGAAGTATGTTTTGTTTTAGTGTGAGTTACCGTTACTGTATTTGTTTATTGTAAAGGTGGACATTTAGCGTTCAGTGCAGTTTTCAATAAAAAGTAATTAAAATTTGTTAAGTTCTGAAATTCAAGTACATCTCACTAATGTAAAAGTGCTCTACTTGAGATGTTTAAGGCAACTGCATTATCAATTAGCCAGTTTCCAACTCTTATTACTACAGGGTTCTGCCTATTCCATAACCAGACTCAAGAACGCTGACAATTACCTCATGTGATACAAAGTTTAATTGAAAAATCAAAACCTCACACAAGTCCATCATTATCAAGTCATGCCATCCTTAAGATGTAAATGGTGGGTTAGAGCTAAGTCTTACATTCAAAAAAAAAAAAAAAAAAGTTGCTCAACTTAAGAGTTCTGATTTTAATTTACCCCAAAGCAAAATGGCCTGGACCTGGTTCAAGGCAGGGAAGTGACCCTTGAAACTGTTTTGCCAATAACCTAACAAAATATTTACAAAGAAGTGTTGCAAAATAGTCCCATGAGTTAAGAACTTGAAGTTGATTTAATGGATCTTCTTTTTAAATAGAATTAAACCTTTATACTAAGTGTCTGCTAAGTGTCAATTAAGTCCAACAATTCCAGGTATCAAACTCCCTCTGAGCTCTTCCTTATACTTCCCTTCCCATTAAAACAAAACAAAAAACTCATGGTGTCTTACAGCCTTTGGCTTGCCTGGCCTTGTCTGCTCACTCTAAGGTGGTGGCCCCATCCCAACTCTACCATAAAAGTGTCCATTAACACAAGCTCACATGGAGAGAGACGGCACTCATAGTTACTGACCTATCACCCCAGGAAACAAAAAGGTAGTTTAACATCTTTGTAACCACTCTCAAAGAGACTATGAAATATGCGTGGAAAGGAGGCCAAGCGCGCACAGAGTATCTTACCTTCACATACGTGAAGAAGTCTGGGACACGAGGAACCTAAGAGTCAAAAACATAAGGCAGGTCTGAGTCCATGGCCCACCTGGGTTTTGTTTAATTAGATCTTGGTTGCCCAAACCAAAATTTATATACATGTATATGAATTTGACTCCAAGGAAGAACAGGTCAAAACAAAATGGCATGCTCTGTTTGCTCTATGCAAAGAACCATCAAGTCCACAGAGCGAAGGTATGACTTACTATCCAGAGTCAATCATTTATCAGAGTCTGTCACCTAGCCATGTATAATCTTTGAAAAAGGACTATATTCTATCTTGGGACAATAATTATGGCTGTTTAATCAAGAGCATAATACAGCATTGATTTACCAAAAATTTTGGCCTTTAACAGCCAGTCTATGAAAACCATTTAGAGCCCCATTCCTGTCTGTAGCCTAGGAAATGGAACCATCTTTAATTCTTTCCCACAGGGAAGAATGCTGCACCTATCACACTATGTGGTCAGGGTCACTGATAATAAATAAATAAATAGAGCACGCAGAGGAAACAACACTCACCAAACCACGACACACAGTAGAAGCTAAGTACGGAGCATACACTCGCTGGACAACGCTGCTGCAATGCAGACTGCAATGGCTACATGCTTTTCCCCCGAACAATTCTCTTTGGCTTCTTCAATTGGGAGGGCAGATTTTGCTTAACAGGCAACTAGAACAGGATCTCTGCCCACTAAAAAATTATCCCTATACATAGAGAAAAGTTACTACAGATGCTAAGTAGTCAGAATGCTAACATTTTCTACAAACTCGATTAACTAATTATTGGCCAAAATGAAAGCAAACAGTATAGCCCATTTTTAAAAACACATTCACCACTTGAAACAGCAGCATTTACATTATATCAAAGATTCATTTCTACGGAATCATACTACAAAAATCATTTTTTCCTGCAAGATTTAGCATGCAGCAAAAATGATCTTTTCATCCTGGGAACACTTTTTTACTGAGTTTTTGGGGGGCGGAACTAAAGACATGACAGTTTTGTGGGTATTTTTCTATTTTTAGTATCATTCTGGCAGCAAATTTGAGGTTGTACACATTTCATTATCAACTAAAAAACAAGCAAATACTTTAAGGTTTTCACAGCCTTTTCATCACAGGGAAGGGAAAAAAAAAATACGTGTGTGTGTGTGTGTGTGTGTCATCCTTCCAAACTCCTGGCCACATCAATAGTCTAGAAAGTGCTTATCAGGACACCAAGTACTTCTGTGTTCCTGAGATAGGTCTGAAATTTTTACCCAGTATTGGATGTATACCTGAAGTGGTCAAATAATACTTCTTATAAAGTTTTTCTACCTAAGATTATAATTTTAACTTTAAATAAGAATGGCCACAATTAACCAACATGCAAAAATTCTCAGACTAAACACTGAGAAATTCTTCATAGAATGCATTTACCACCTTATTGCATTTTTAAAATCTTTATTCTGTAGTGAATGGGTGTTCCCAATCTGCCTAAGCAAAGGCATGCCATGCCCTTCTAACAAGATTTGCTTAGAGCAGAGGTGATGAAAGGAAGAATCCGAAGGCCTATGGCATGGCAATTTGGGAGTAGTACACTGTGGATGGAGTCCAAGTGAGCAAACTGCACACAATTCATTTAGTGACAAGTGGGCTTGCTCCCTTTTCATCCAGGAAAAAAACTACTCAGACCACTGCCCAGAATCTGGAATAAGAACCCTCATTTTAAGGTATTCTTCCCAACAAATAAATATCTAAATATCGAAAGGGGGCATATCAGAAAACTGAAGACACAATAACCAAAACCAAAACCCTCTTCAAAACAAGTAAGCAATGTCTATATTTAGTTCACTCTAAAACATTCTTAGCTCTTCTTGCAGTTTGTTCCTAAAAGATTTGATTGGATTGGGCACAACAGGAACTAAATCATTAATAAAATAGAAGGTTATTTTTATGTTTTGGTGTAGATAATCTGTACAAAACGTTTCCAGATCTCTGAGACTTAGATGGATGTTTTAAGGTTAAAGTAGAATGTCAGGTTCTACTGAAATAATATCTTAAAGGAACAAAGAGCCATTTGCCATGTGCTTTTTCTAAGTGCCCATGCTGAAAAAATTTTCTCAATAATATGAAGATGCTGGTACAACTTTTCCTATTACACAATTTCTTACACAACCACATGCGTTACATTTATAGACAGATTTACAATTTGAAAGGAAAAAAAGTTCTGTCTTAATAAAATTAGGTTTTTTTTTACAAACTGTAGTCCAACTAAAGTTCTCTGTCCCATCACACAGCAGAGGCATTATCTCCATTAGGTGTGTGTGGTCCAGGAAAACACTTCCCAGAGCAGATCCTGCCAGATTTGGTTCATTCCATGATGTCGACTCTGCTTGGAGCACCACACTAACTTTAGGGTCATTACAGATCTGATGCCTTGGTCTTCGATTTTTTTGTCATTCATCTTCATCATCCTCATCTTCCTCTCCATCGGACAGGGATGTACACGGCCGGATCTGTCGGTAGCGGTCAAGCCATTTTTCTACCATCTGAGTGACCAGGGGGTGATTTCGCCGCCGAGAGCTCTTCTGCATGGCGACCAGAACTCCCCCCTCTGTCACACAGCAGTCCAGCCACTCCCTGAGCAGTTTTTCTTGCTGTTCCTCATTACCTAGCTTTTGAAGGAATATGAAGACAAAGGGAAAAATCATACAACAGATCAGAGACTTGGTAGGAATGTGACATGGAAACTGACAGCTGGTATGCTAACTCATGAAAAGGCCAAAGCAATCAACTTTTCACATGGTTTTGATCTCTTGGAAGTTTTGTGTTTAAAGTCCATTTTGCTCTGGTTAAATTTAAAAAGACATCAATGGCAAATTTTTCAGAAAAAAACTAAAGAGAAAAGCACACTAGAGGGTAATCTGTTAGATAAAATAACAAAAAACAAATGTCCTAATAAACTGATCCTGGCAAGCCACAGCTTCAAACACATGACAAGGTAAGTTTACTTAGTCAATTATGTACAAGCTGAAATTATACAAGTTACGGTCTATGAATTTTTCTTCATGTTGTGATTATAAACGTTTTATGATAATTACTAGTATATTGAATAAAAGACCAATACTTTTCTAAGAATACTGCCTTTCTGAAAGAGCGCTGTTTTTGTACCTTCTCACCACCTCCCGTCTGATCTATACTACCCTTTCACTCCCCTTCATCTACAATACCTGGTATTCCTGCTCCTGCCACTGCACCAGAGCCCCAAATGTTCCTCTTCTTGGTAAACTAGCCATTGGCTTACCACACTATCCAGAGTAAAACCCAAAGCTTTAAAAAGCCTTCAGTGAACTCCACCCCATCCCTATCCTCTCTGACCTCCCTCCCTCCCTCCCTCCACTGCCGCCTACCCTCTTTCCCTGTTGCTTACTCCTGTTAAACCACACTGGCCCTGCAATTCTTGGAACTCTGCTTTCAGATAAAAACTTGCTTCATTTCCTAAATGCCGTATGTAAATCACAAACCTCATCTTTACTTTTTAAAACCCATCACCACCTTAAGTTCCTTGATGTGTCCCCCATACAGCAGTTTTGAAAAGGTAAATTTCAAAGTATAACTGGTATCTTCAGCAATTACTACAATCACATTCAGAAATTAAGTGACAGTGCAGATAAAACCACACCTGAAAGGCACCTCAGGCTCTTTCTGGTACAAGGTCACTACTAGAAATAGTTCATGGGAGAAAGACACTGCTTACCTCCTGAGCAGAAAGGAAGTGCACGTGGAGTAGCTTCCTTTCACTGTCAACCAGAGGCAAAAATGTGATGGTGACATCATCATCAGTATTCAGATTAGCACCAGCACCTCGGTTGCCATAGCCATCATTTTCCATGGCAACCAAAGCAGAGAAGTGGCCCCTTGTATACCCCAGAGCAATCGGACTTTTCCAACAAAAACTCTGTTCCCACAACAAAGGCAGATAAACACCTGGAAAGAGAGGGAAGAAAATCCCAACAGTTACAGGAAGAAAGAGCCACTCCCTCACTGCCCTTGTTCACATTCCCCTGTCCACTGCTCCTTTCTGACATCTGAGCCATTCTGTTCAAAGAAACTTGTAAAATGCTCCCGAATAATGGCTTACCTTGAAACCGAGTATATCCTAAAGTTTCTCCCCGGAAACTCTTGTAATATTTTACTCCATAAACTATAATTGGTCGTCTAAGAATATGTGCCAGTACAAAAATGTGCGTCTGCTCCAAGCTTGCTCCAGGCTGTACAAAACAAAACAAAAACTTAAAACATTTTATTACCACTCCTGGAAAACTGATGTGTAAAAAATAATACTACCTCCCCTTTAGTATACTATCACAGTTGGTTTTTAAGAAAGAAAAAATTGTCAAAGCAGCATTTGATTCCTCAAATAATAAATCCAATAAAACTGTAAAAGAAATCTACAAAGGCTACATGCAAATATCATTTACCATCCAAACTCACAAATTATATAGACGTGCATACATATTTTGAAATATCCCTTGCTACCCAACCTCACCACTAACTCTCCAACCTCAGGAACCAGAAATTCAGATAGCTAAGGATGCTTTATTATCACATTCTGGTTAAGTTACTGTGAAAGCACTACCTACAACAAAGTCCTCCTGAAATAAAAAAGTGAGCCTGTTTCATGCAAATGTAAATGGCAGTGTCACCTAACTCGTGACTACTAATATTACATGGGTCCATCATCGAGCTACAATGCATGGTGTGAGATGTGTCTCATGTAAATCAACCACTATGAATCCTGCCCAAATTACCCAAAGATGGGGTACCACCTTCTCTAAGTTCAAATGAACCATGGTGCTTTATGGAAAAAAAAGGAGTGGTTGTATATATATTTGTACTTTACAGTTTGGTATACTGAAGTGCTTCATAAAATAAAGCATGAAACCAAGAGTCTAAGGGACAACCCTATACAGTTCCATGTTACAAGAAGCCTTCATTAATAAAAAGGGGTTAGCAAACTTGGAAAAATTCATTCCCACATTAATCAGAAATCATTCCTATTGATGGTAATTAGTTCAGAGTAAGCTAAACTACCCTTTCCCTTTGCCTACATGACACAGGTATTGCCTCACCACAGGGAGCATTATAAAGATTGACAACTGGATCCTCAGGGCCTGAGAGATCAGCAACAGCAATGCAAGTACCTACCAGTTCAGTAATCTTGAGTAAGTGTCCCCAGAGACAGAACAGAGCTCACCTGGATAGGTACCATAGGCATTCAAGCCTATGCTGCAGGAATGGAAAGCCATCCCAAGACTATCTAGTGTATGTAACCGTCACAGCACAGCTTTCACTTTTTGATGTTTTTTAATCATTCAATATAACAACACATATTACTCTCTCCCCTGTTCTGCAGTGAGGACTTGCTATGGTCATCTATACTTACTATGCTATTTATTTGATATATAACAGTCATCACTAGAACCCAAGTCGACTGATATCAAGTCAAGCATTCTTTTCTTTGACCACACTACCCCCAAAATGGTTTGCTCAAATCAATCAATTTAGACTACATGCTCACTTTTCTCATAGAAGCAACGAGACTTGAAGCATCCTCACCTGACTAGCAAGAGAGAGTATAAATGCCCAGTCTTCTTGCCACTGTTCTTCTCTCAAGGAAAAATGTAAACCAAAGCTCTGAGAATACCATGATTCCCAATCTTTCCAGCGTGTGTAAAACCTGAAAAAGCAGGATAGTAAAAAAAATAAGCCTTCTATAAATAAAACATTTACAGTTCTGATCATTTTTCTTTAACACAGTCTTTAAGCAGTTTGTGAAACAATAATTTTATTTTGCCTGGTTGGTAATGTATTTTTCAAATGAAAAATGCCTCCCTCTTCCGCTAGCGGGTACCTTGTAACATCCTTTAACATCTTTAGCCAGAATCTGATTTACCAACAACCAAATTTTCAAACTTCAAACGCTAATTATGAGACTGGTTATTTTCGACTGTCTACAATTAGTTTACCAAAAAAAAAAAAAAGTCATCTGAAATGTTGGATACAAAGACACTACATTTCTCTATCAATGTATAGTACACCACCTACTTGATCACTTGTATAAACAACAGATGGGAAATATTCCGTGTGTTCATAGTATCAAGATCATCTCCCTGAGATTTCTTTCCATAAATAATTTCTCTCTGATGATCACCTAATAATTCAAAAGCAACCAAAAAGAAACCCACTGCAATGACAGAAAACATTCCTTCTTTATGCTTAACACTGAATTACTGAAAACAACATCGATTCTTTGTCTATCAGATATAAAAATTCAGAAATAATTATGTTCAAAATTATGGTTCACTGTCTTATAAAACAAGCCAACTAAGACCTCTAAAATGAAGACAGACATTTAATCTGTTTATAACATCACATTTATCTTCCATACATCTGAATTCTAGGTAAAAGAAACCAAAGACAATTCTGTTCCTGTTGTTAAAAAGTTTCAGCATATTAAAGTTAAACGTGAACAGGTGTGGTAGCTCACATCTGTAATTCTAGCACTTTGGGAAGCTGAAGGAGGAGGATTGCCTGAGGTCCAGAATTCAAAACAACCTGGCCAACATGGTGAGACCCCATCTATTCTTTTAAAAAAAAAAAAAAAAAGTTAAATGGGTTGGTGTCACAAGTAGCTTTACAGTAATTTAATGAAGGGCTTCTTAGAAAGTAAATTAATATATTTTCTAAAGAAATTAAAATATAATGTTCCAGAGTAAAAACTCAGTTTAAAACATTTTTCATACTCCAGGTAACTGAGGATGTTTAATTATAATTCCAAATGTTTTAAAATTAAAATATATATATTCTTCTTTTATAACAACTAAGATACACAGGAATGTCTGAAAATTTTGGGAACAGTGATAAAATACAATGTTTTGAAAAGTTCAAGGAGAAATATCAAACACAAATTGTTAATACTGAAAGTTGCAGGCAGTTAGAAATTTCTTGCTTAATGCCTAAAATCACTTTGTAAGTAAGACAGCTAAGTCAGCCAGAAATTCAATGGTGACTGCACTCAAAACTCTACAAAGACCACTGAAGAAGGGAGTTCAATAAAATATACTTTAAGACTAAACATGTTAAAATGTTCATCCTCACCACCCCAAGACCTAAACTCTGAAACTACCAGGGTCTCCAGAAGAACAGACAAGCAAACCAAATCCAGGAGTGTGTGACCGGATGGTACAGGAATACCAGTTTGGTTTAACATTCAAAACTCAATTCCATGTTCATGGATTGGAAGGCTCAATACTGTTAAGCTGGCAATACCACCATCACCCCAATTCATCTACAAATTAAATGCAATCCCAGTCATAATCCCAGCTGTCTTTTTTACAAAAATTGATAAGCTGGATCCTAAAATTTATATGGAAATCCAAAGGACTCAAAATGGTCAAAACAATGTTGAAAAAGAAATGCAAAGTCAGATGACTTACACTCCTGATTTCAAAATTTATTACAATGATATGAACATCCAGACAGTCTGGTACTGACATGAGGATAGCCCAATGGAAAAATAGATCAATAGAACAATATTAAGAGTCCAGAAAAAAACCCTTACTTGTATAGTCAACTAATTTCCAACAAAATCGCCAAGGCAATAGAATGTAGAAAGGGTTTTTTCAATTAAAGGTACTGAAATAACTGGGTATCCACATGCAAAGAGGTGAATTTAGGACACCTCACACTTTCAACAAAAATGACCTCAAAATGTAAAACAAAAATGACCTAAACGTAAAAGTTAAAACTATAAAATTCTTATATGAAACCACAGGAGTAAATCTTTGTGACCTTGGGCTAGACAAAAATCTCTTCAGATACAACAGCAAAAGCATGAGCAATAACAGAAAAACATTGATAAATTGAACTTGATCAAATTAAAGACTCCTGATTTCAAAAGACACTGCTAATGAAGTGAAAAGACAAGACACAGAATAGAGAAAAATATCTGCAAAGCAGATATCCAATGAGGGACCTGATACAAACAACACCTGCAAATCAATATTAAGACAACCCATTTAAAAATGAGCAAAAGACGTGGAAAGATACTAAACCAAAGAAGATACATGAATGAGCAGTAAGCACATGAAAAGATGCTCAATATCATCACTTAAATAGGGAAATGCAAATCAAAACCACAATCAGCCCATGTGCCTGCAATCCCAGTTAATTGGGAGGCTGAGGCTAGAAGATCACCCGAGCCCAGGAGTTCAAGACCTAGAACATTTCTCGTTGCCATCAGCAATGTATGAAGATTCCAATTTCCTCAAATTCTCAACAACACTGTTATTGCCTGTCTTTTTGGTTATGGCCATTTCTGTGCACGTGAGGTAGTATCTCATTGTGTTTTTGTTTTCAGACAGGGTCTCATTATGTTGCCCAGGCTGGTCTTGAACTCCTGAGTTCAAGTAATCCTCTAGCCTCAGCTTCCCAAAGTGCTGGTATAGGCCTGAGCCATCAGGCCCGGCCGACAATTCTTCGTAATAACAAAAACAGTCACTTTGGGAGGCCAAGGTGGGAGTCTGAGACAAGCCTGGGCAACATAGCGAAACCCTGTCTCTACAAAAAATACCAAAAAAAAATTAGCTGGGCATGGTGGTATGTGCCTGTAGTCCCAGTTACTTGGGAGACTGAGGTGGGAGAATTGCTTGAGCCACGAGGTGTAGGTTGCAATGAGCCAAGATCATACCACTGCACTCCAGACCAGGCAACACAGCAAGACCCTGTCTCCAAAAAGAAAAAAGGAATAATTCTGAAAGACTGATACTAAATTTTTTTCCCCCAATTTACATTAAATGCCTCCACCTGCCCCTTGGGAAATTGGGTTGGCATGTCAATAAAAAGCAAGTACAACATATTCAGACTTCAGAACCTGAGTCAGCTAGAATCAGCGGTATCCAAGAGAACAGCACAGCTAGCTATAAACACAAATAGCCTATCTTGAAGTGATGGGTGGAGGGGTTCAAATAAAAGAAAATTGCGGCCGGGCGCGGTGGCTCAAGCCTGTAATCCTAGCACTTTGGGAGGCCAAGACGGGCGGATCACGAGGTCAGGAGATCGAGACCATCCTGGCTAACACGGTGAAACCCCGTCTCTACTAAAAAATACAAAAAACTAGCCGGGCGAGGTGGCTGGCGCCTGTAGTCCCAGCTACTCGGGAGGCTGAGGCAGGAGAATAGCGTAAACCCGGGAGGCGGAGCTTGCAGTGAGCTGAGATCCGGCCACTGCACTCCAGTCTGGGCGACAGAGCGAGACTCCGTCTCAAAAAAAAAAAAAAAAAAAAAAGAAAAGAAAAGAAAATTGCTTTCTCAGTTCTTAATATGTATCTTATATAAGAAAACATCTCATTCCAGCTGATTCCAATTAAGTGCAAACGGCACCTCAGCAAAGAGCATCTTAAAAAGGAGACTACACAAGCTATATGCTGGCTCCTCCCCTCCTGGCCTAGAAAACCCATGCCTACTCACTCTCACTCTACTCTCTACTGGCCACATGACAAGCCCAGTGGACAAACCTCATGCAACTCAACACAAGAACTCTGTAAGGGTTATTCCATAGTATATTTGACCTCTCGAATCCATGGCAACAACACTTACTATCTAACCACTAGATAATTTTCATCCCAACCCACCCCAGTACTGTAAGGATGTCTGTGTGATCATTGTAATCAATGCAGCTTCCTATGCCTGAACTGTAAACCATCGGACAAAGCTCCCCAGTGGCAGGGACTGGAGGAGGTGATGCCAAACCAGGCTGTTCTGGGACACCTGTCCATATGCCAGCCCTCGGTGCTCACTCCTGAAGCATCCTTTAAGAGTCAGGACTATGGACTAAAAGATCTGCTGCAACAACTCTTGCCAGTGGCTGTAAACAAACAGCCTAGTTCCTTCTCACCCTAGTACCCACTCCCTAATAGAATAGGGAGATTCTATTTCTCCCCCTGACCATCTTTTTTTTCTTCTTTTTTTTCTTAGCAGGATCTCACTCTGTCACCTAGGCTGGAGTGCAGTGGCATGATCTTGACTCAGCACAGCCTCAACCTTCCAGGCTCAAATGACTCTTCCACCTCAGCCTCCTAGGTAGCTGGAGCTACAGGCACACACTACCACGCCTGGCTAAATTTTGTATTTTTTGGTAGAGACAGGGTTTCGCTCGCTATGTTGCCAAGGCTTGTCTTGAACTCCTAGGCTCAAGAGATCTGCCCACAATCTCCCTAACTCTATGCTAGACTTCCGGGACCTCAAATGACTCACAACCATCTGAGAATTCCAGTCCCGATACTAACATTAGTGACAACTCAGACTCACAAGATCACCCATAGCCAGCTCTGAGGAACAGGTGGGAATAAACCCCAAAGCAATTCTTACTCACCACAAATGTCTTTGTTAAAAAAAACAAAAAAAAGTCCAGGTGCAGTAGCTCATGCCTGTAATCTCAGCACTTTGGAAGGCTAAGGCAGAAGAAACGCTTGAGTCCAGGGGTTCAAGACCAGCATGGGCAATATAGTGAGAACCTCATCTCCACAGAAAAATTTTAAAATTAGCCACATGTGGTGGCACACTCCTATAGTCCCAGCTACTCACAGGAGACTGAGGTGGGAGGATCACCTGAGCCCAAGGAAGCGAAGGATGCAGTGAGCCAAGATCGTAACCCTGCACTCCAGCCTGGGTGACAGAGCAAGACCCTTTCTCAAAAAACAAAACAACAAAAGAAACACTCACCACGAAAAAAAAGACACCACTTCTAAAATCCACAATGTACTTTTGGCCTTTCAACAGATCAGGAAATTACCACCAAAGAAAAGGCCAGGCGTGGTGGCTCACACCTGTAATCCTAGCACTTTGGGAGGTCGAGGCAGGCGGACTGCCTGAGCTCAGGAGTTCGAGACTAGCCTGGGCAACATGGTGAAACCCCACCTCTACTAAAAATACAAAAAATTAGCTGGGTATGGTGGCGCTGCCTGTAATCCCAGCTACTCAGGAGGCTGAGGCATGAGAATTGCTCGAACCCAGGAGGCGGAGGTTGCAGTGAGCCGAGATCATGCCACTGCACTCCAGCCTGGGAGACAGAGTAAGACTCTGTCTTAAAAAAAAAAAAAAGGAAATTACCACCAAAGATTACTGGCCGCCTTTTTAGAGGTGACCTGCAAAGTGGTAGATTTACCACAGTTCAAACCTGGCTTACAGGGCAGAGTCACATTAACCAAAACTACAAGGCAGACCTGTGAAACCACAATGCCAAGAACCCACTCTCTTAGAAACCAAACCAGGCTCATCCTCTTGACACAGACAGGCCCATAGCAGTAGTCAAGAAAATCAGGAGCAGGAAGCTGCTTGGTGACCATGGGATCTGATCAAGAGGGCCAGACAGGCAGAGCACTGACCAGCATCAGGCTTACCTAGCCCGATAAACCTACTTCATACTACCTTACAGCCATCTCCACTAAGAGGCACAAAAACGCTCTCTCTCCAGGACAATTACTAATTGACTAAAACTACCTGAGTGATACATTCATTCTTTAGCTTTCATATACATCCAGTCAGGTCATCCAGGAAGCTATTTTATTTCTCTAATGTGCCCACAAATTGTTACTCTATTACGTTATGCTTTCCCCCACACCCCCAAGACAGTCTCACTCTTGTCACCCAGGCTGGAGTGCCGTGACGAGATCTTGGCTCGCTGCAACCTCCTCTTCCTCCTGGATTTAAGCAATTCTCGTGCCTCAGCTTCCCGAATAGCTGGGATTACAGGCATGCACCACCACACCTGGCTAATTTTTGTATTTTTAGTAGACAGGATTTCAACAAGTTGGACGGGCTGCTCTTGAACCTGCCTGCCTCAGCCTCCCAAAGCAATGGGATTGCAGGCATGAGCCACACCCCCCAGCCATACTGCATTATGCTTTGATCTACAATTTAGCTCTCAAGAAAGTAACTTATAGGCCAGACACGGTGGCTCATGCCTGTAATAACTAAATGAGATAATGTTCAAAGAACCAAGAAAATAACACATAAGTCAAATAAATGTAAAGATCTGAACTATTCATTCACAAAAACAATTATTTTTCCAGTGACTGCATGCTGTTAAAATATAAATATATAAAGACCACTTTGAGACAATTGGAGAAATGTGATTATGAACTGTTAGATAACAGAATCAATGTTGAATTAGATGTAGGAATGGGGATGTGGGTGAGTAGGAGAATATTCTTGTTCTGGAAAGATGTGTGTTAATATTTTGAAGGGTAAAGCATCATGATGTCTACAACGAATTGACCCAAGAGTCTTTCTGTATGCAGACATGGAGCAGGTGTGACAAAATGTTAACAACTGCTCAGCTGAATGAAAATACCAGGATCTGTTGCACTGAATTTTTAAAAAATTATTCCATGGGTTTGAAAATTTGCAAAATAAAGAATGTGATCTTAAGACTCCCTCAGGAAGGAAAAAAAACTTGTAACACAATGTCAAGATAACCTCTTAGGTGAACACAAATATTAAATAAGGTTGGGTGCGGCAGCGCAGGTCTGTCATCCCAGCACTTTGGGAGCCTCAGGCAGGTGGATCGCTTGAGATCAAGATTATCAAAGCCACCCTGGGAAATATGGCAAAACCCCATCTCTACCAAAAATACATAAAACAGCCGGGCATGGTGATGAGCACCTGTAGTTCTAGCTACTCAGGAGGCTGAGGTGGAAGGATGGCTTGAGCCCAGGAGGTGAAGGATGCAGTGAGCCGAGACTGCACCACTGCACTCCAGCCCAGCAACTGAGCCAGACCCTGCTTCCATCGATGGATTGATCAATCAATCAATCCCTAAAAAGATGAGCAAAGGCCTTATCAATATTTAAGGCTACTATATAACTTGAAATGTTGCATTTGAAATGTTCAAATATACTGCTTCTGTTTTATAGAAACAATAAATGCTTGCATTTTAAAGCTTCAAATGTTTCCATTTTAAAATTTAGCAAAAAAAAGTATAAAAACCATTTATTCTTGCTTTTATCTCGTTTCTTGGGGGAAAAACAAAAACAAAAACCATGGACATGTTCAAAGTATTTTAATGTCCAAAATGAACTGTTTTTTCCTCTAGTTTCCATAGAAAATATAACTGACATAAAAAGTATTCCGCCACTACAAGGAAATGATCCAGCAAATGCACTCCTGGGTTGAAACGGGGCAGAATGCCAGCTCACCAATGTGAACAGTCATGCAGGCTGTCATGCAGGGCTTTCCGAAGCACCGAGTCCTTGTCATAGATGCCCCAGGTAGCTTGTAGTACTGAATCAAGTAGGCAGTCTCCTGCAGTCCGGTTCCAAAGTGCATATAATCGACTGTCCAAACGTGTAGCCAATTCCAAGGACCAGTTAATAATTGGAGATTCTTCTTCTAATTCTGTACGATGGATTTAAATACATGTTCATTTCCATACCTATGTCATTAGAGAATATTCATGGGGAAAAAGAACCTATTTTCTAGATATAAAATGGTTTATATGTAATTTACCAATAAACACCTAAATAAAATTGACCAATTGACATATAAACTTCTGAGTACTTGAAACATCTTCTGTCTCTAGAATAATTTAATCAACTTTTAAATTCTTTAGTTTTATTTTCTAAAAAGTGTTTAATATAGAAATATACACATTCTGGAACAGGAAGCAGAGAACCAAGGTTTTAAAATTTTTCTATCTTTATTTGTTCACTCTATGACAGTGAACCATACAATGTAACACTGAACTTCAGGACTTTACATCTTTAATTTAAAATAAAAATAAAGCAAGTTGACTATACAACAAACTACACCATGCTTTACTAAACAAAACTTACTTGATCAGATGAAAGGTAAATTATACTCATTAATTCCATGCTTACCTTTTTGAACATCTCTATCAAGCACCTCATCAAATAATTTTTCTTGGACAGTTGGGGGCAAATCTTCAATATCTACAAAGAAAAAACAAACTTAAAAGATCTTTTGTTTCATAACTTATACTTCACTTATACTTAATTACACTTATTAATTATCTACTAGTAACTTTCTCTAAAATAACTCCCTTTCCGTTAAAGGTTATCAGATAGCTTTTTCTTAATATACAAGTATAACATGTGTGAGGTAAAATATTTCTTTTCTGGGCCGGGTACAGTGGCTCACGCCTATAATTCCAGCACTTTGGGAGGCTGAGGCCAGCAGACTGCTTGAACTCAGGATTCTGAGCCCAGCCTGGGCAACATGGCAAAACCCCGTCTCTATACAAAATATATACAAAAATTAATCAGACGAGGCAGTAGACACCTGTAGTCCCAGCTACTCAGGAGGCTATGGTGAGAGAACTGTTTGAGTCTGGGGAGGCCAAGGCTGCAATGAGCCGTGATGTTGCCACCGCACTCCAGCCTGGACGACAGAGTGAGACCCTGTCTCAAAAAATAAAAATAAAAAATAAATTTTACAAAATCTAATCATTCTGGGGTAAGCTTAAATACACAGAATGAGTGCATTTCAAATGAAACTTCCTCCAATTTCAGAAAACTTAATTACTACCTCCATTTGTAAACGTTCCTATTTGTCTGAATATAAAAATTAAAAACACTCAGATCTAGCCCAAGTAAACACTCCATCTCTACAAAACAATAAAAAATTAGCCAGGGGTGGGTGGCATGAGCAAGTAAACACTCCATCTCTACAAAACAATAAAAAATTAGCCAGGGGTGGGTGGCATGAGCCTACAGTCCTAGCTGCTCAGGAGGCCAAGGCAGGAGGATCACTTGAGCCCAGAAGTTGAAGGCTGCAGTGAGCTATGATCATGCCACTGCACTCTAGCTTAGGCAATAGAGCAAGACTCCGTTTCAATTTAAAAACAACAAAAAACAAAACAAAACAAAAAAACAGCAACAAAACAAAGAGATCTCAGATTAAAGATTTTAGAAACTTTTGGTGTTTATTGTATTTATTCAATGCCAACTGACAAAAAACACTCTGGAGGACATTTTCAACTGTCAATGAATTGAAAAATGAAAAGTTGCTTCACAAACATAGTAGAAATATATAAAATGAGTAAAAAAGGAATGACACATTCAAGAGAATGCCATGTGTTCAAATAATCTGACTCTACCCATCAAAAGCTCATGTTCTAATCCCATCTCTTAATACCAGGTAACCAATATAGCTATCTAATTTCAAAATAACATACCAGAATGAAAAAGGGAAAATTTTTCAAAGGAGTTTTTTTTTAAAGGATATTCTAAAATAAAACCAAAGAGAAAAATAAAAGAGTAAAACAGATTTTTAAAAAATAATCTGAGGTCCACAACTTCCTCTCAGATAGCAAAAGCATTTACTAACAAGTAGCCCTCCGTATGCTCACTTCCAGCATAAATAGGACAGTCAAGTAATTTAAGATGCACATGTAGTAGCTATGTTATGTGCTTCCTAACAAAAACATTTTTCACCTATATACACATATATAACTATAATAAAATGAAAAAGTCTTTTTACATTAGATTTTGGAGTTACCTGCTGGCAATGTAAATGTTACAAGGTCAGTCAGAAAATAGCAAGCAAAATCCCCCTTTCTCTGATGAAGAGAGGCAGCTATCTCTCTCCGGATTTGTTCTGTCAGTTCAGGACACACCATTGCTGGAATACACTTTGCTGCTTGTTGAGACACCTTAAATACAAAAGAAACTTTCCTCTCAACTCATGTACCACAAATGGAAGCAGAAAACAACAGTATTTAAAAGAAATCAGCAAAATTTTCCAATAACTCAAGGTTTTCTTTAATCTTAAAATACACTGGGTATTATTTCCTTACCAATGAAAGTATATACCAGTATAACTTTTCAGAAAGTCATAAAAATGTTTTATCCTCTGATTCAGTAATTCTATTTAATAATTTATCACAAGGAAATACTCAAAGATGCACATAAAATTTATGGAAAAGGGTGTTGTTCATAGACACATCACAGGAAGAGGAGGGAGGACAGAAAACCTAAGCAGACTAACCATCGTGCACCCAATAAAAACATTCTTTAGAAGCAGAGAATCACAGCTGATAGAGAAACGGAAAACTGCAAACACTCTTCTCCCGCAAGATTCAAGTACCCTAACTTGGACTCAAAAAAAGCACAGGATTTAAAGGGTTAGTTCCCACTGACCTCAAGCCCCCTTTCTTCCTCTCCATTTGTTACCACTCTGAGTTTTTAAAAAAGCATTTGGCATCTCCAAGTTTAAACACAGACTGCCAACCTCTGAAGCTCAGCCTGACGGGAGTGAGATGGGAGCACTATTGCACAGCCCTCCTAAGCAAGAAAACAACAAACAAAAAAGGAAGGCTAAAACTTTCTTCTTTTGTTATTTTTTTCTTCTTTTTAAAATGCTAAATAGCAACAAAAGTTGCAAAGATTTAATTTAACCCTACATTTCAGTCATATCTAATTTGTGGATCTAAATAAAAATACATACACAGAATTCTAAAATCACAGTTGAGCATCTGCCAGTAACAAACGGAATTCGAGGCCAGGCACAATGGCTCACGCCTGTGATCCCAACAACTCTGGGAGGCCAGGGTGGGTGGATTGGTTCAGTTCAGCAGTTCGAGACCAGCCTGGCCAACATGATGAAACCCTGTCTCTACTAAAACTACTACTATAACTATTAGCTGTAGTCTCAGTTACTTGGAAGGCTGAGGCATGAGAATCGCTTGAACCCGGGAGGAGGAAGTTGAAATGAGCTGAGATCGCGCCACTGCACTCCAGCCTGGGTGACAGAGAGAGACTCTGACAAAAAAAAATCCAGAGTGAGCCAGAGTGAGCCTGTTCCCTGATATCACCAACCTGGCCTTCCAGCCACAGTGGGGTCTGAAGCAACAGGTCTTCCAGCCCCTTCTTCTTCTCAAAGACTAAGGTTTACTGATAATGTCATGTACATCATATATGTACACAACTAACTGCTACTGCTATTAAAGAAATAATGTTTCAAAAACCCTGCATACCCCACACAGTCACCTGACTCCCTATTCTGAAACTCCAGCCAGGTGCGGTGGCTCACACCTATAATCCCAGCACTGTGTGAGGCCAAGGCAGGAGGATCACTTGAGCTCAGGAATTCAAGACCTGCCTCGGCAACATAATGAAACTCTGCCTCTACAAAAAAACCCAAAATATTAGCTAGGCATTGGTGGCATGCATCAGTAATCCCAGCTACTGGGGAGGCTGAAAGGTGAGAGGATCACTTGAGCCAGGGAGGATGAGGCTGTAGTGAGCCATGATCACACCCCTGGGCAACAGAGAGAAAGCCTGTCTTAAAAGAAAAAAATTAAAAATTAAAAAACTCCTACACAGAAATTGAATTCTACTAGACTTTATTCGCCAAGATTACCATTAACCATGAAAATTCTCACTACATCTTAAATCCAAGAGCCCATTCATCAACACTCAAACATGGAAAACCAAATATTAAATATTTTCAGAATATAACTATTTCTCAAACAACATAGCTAAAATGGCTCCCCCAAAAGTAAATTCAAAAATAGCTTATTCCAATCAGCTAGCTCTCAGGCCCTTTCCAAAAATCTGGAAAGACCTTTCCAAAAACCACCTGGACTGGACCCTGACTACTACAAACATTCTAAAAGAAACCTAGCCCCCCAAACAACCCCTTTCACCACCATCCTTAAGTAGGATGTGCCCCTGAAGCCTGCCACTCACCTTCTCACCTCTTCAACTTTATGGTTCTCAACCATCTCCACAGGCTAGGAGTTCTTAACTTAGGGTCCATGATCTTGGGAATGGTCCATGAACTTTAATGGGAATTTGGTTTTAATTCAAGTTAAATCCATTTTCCCCACCTTTTTACCAATATTAAAACGTATTTTCTTATATATCACAAATTTAGTTTAGTATTTTGGTAGCTATTATTTCAAAACAACTGATTTCCTTTGTAATCTCATTTACTTCTTATTTTATTTATTTAAAAACAGTATTTTGGGAAGGAGTCCTTAAGCTTCATGAGACTACCAACAGGGTCCATGACACAGAATCCGATGAAAACTCCTGCCCCACATACATATCCCCAACTCTAATGTTCTCCTGTTCTCATTCCAAAAGAACTTGGCTGAGCATTCTCTGCAACACACCCCCTTAGTCTAGACTTAGTCCAGACTCCCCCACTTCCAGTCTCCCTACTGGCCCCTTTAATTCTGTCCTTTGGAGTATTTATTCCATGGAGACTGAATCCATGACCAATTTTGCTCTCTGCCTGGAACAAACCTCCCCCCACCTCTCCCACGCTGTTCTGGGGTTGTTCCACATGTCCCACAGAATACAGCAAAAGTAATGGTATATTGCTTCCTAAATCCATTTATAAAAGACACTGCAGGTTTCAAAGACACTGGATCACTCTCTTGCACTCTGTGCCTCTCTTGGATCACTTGCTGGGGGTGAAACCAGCTGCTGTATCATGAGCATCCCTGTAGACAGGCCTGCATGGCACGGAATTGAAGCCTCCGGCCAAAAGCCACCTGAGTGGGCTTAGGAACAGATACTCTAGCCCCAGTTAAGTCTTTTGACAACTACAGCCCTGGACCACTTGACTGTAACCTCATGACATCGTGAGTCAAAACTATTCAGCTAAGTAGCTCCTGGATTCTAACCCTCACGAACTCTGTGAGATAACATACATTTGTTGTCTTAGCTGCTAAGTTTCCAGATAATCTGTGATACTGCAATAAATATACTGATGTTCTATCATCATCCCACTGTTAGTCCTCAGACTGTCTCAGGAGCTCAATGACTCATGATGGCCCCTCTAAAACCTTGTAATAATCTTCTACCTACCTCAGGGGAGCCCCTAAAGACTTTCACCCTAGTTTACAACTGCCTTCTTTATGCTGGCTCCTGTCACCACCAGCAACTACAATTCCACATTGATGGCCCTTCCAATATACAACAGACAACACGACTAGGCACCACAACACAAATGCAGCCAGGCCTTCAACACTAGAAAAACTCTAATTCTTCTATCTCACATTCTAAAACCTGGATCCCTCTATCTGAAAAGTTCCCTTCTCCCTTATTTATATTCAATAAGCCTGCCCTTTTGTTTTCATCATGGCCTTCAGTCTCTCAAGCCCCCCACTCCAGCTTCACTGGAATCTTACCAAACTGGACACAATACTACAATCATGTTTCCATCTAACCTTCAAATATTTTAATCCCCATACAATGCCCTGTAGTGGTTCCCAAATATTGGCAAATTTGAATAAACAGATATGCAAAAGTACATACGAAAGATATACACTGACAAAATTTGAATCCACAATTAATATGACTCTCTGCACTTTTACTCTATTTCTCTTACCATTAAAAAATGCTACCTTGGCCAGACATGGTGGCTCATGCCTATAATCCCAGCACTTTGGGAGGCCAAAGCAGGCAGATCTTTGAGGTCAGGAGTTCAAGACCAGTCTGGCCAACATGGTGAAACCCCATCTTTCTAAAAATACAAAACTAGCCAGGCGTGGTGGCATGCGCCTACAATCCCAGTTTCTTGGGAGGCTGACACAGGAGAATTGCTTGACTCCAGGAGGCAGAAGTTGCAGTAAGCCAAGATCGTACCACTACACTACAGCCTGGGCAACAGAGTGAGACTCTGGCTTAAAAAAAAAAAAAAAAAACCTGGATAATGTAGTCACATCCTGAATAATTCACAGGCAATCTCTCTCAATCATTTGTAGCATATACCTAGTTATGTCAGCCAGAAACTGAAGAATCAACTTAGGTCCACTCTATATCTTCCCATATCCAATCAGTCAGTCTACTTCTTCAGACTGAGGGCCTGTCTCAGTTTCTCCAACCCTCTAACCCTCTTCCCATTTCTAAGGCTACCCTTCTGGGTACCCTTCTATGGCTGCCCTTCTGCCCTTCTGGCAGAAGTTCTTGCCAGCACCTCTGCAACCCCCTCCTAATCAGGCTCGCCCCTCTCCAGTGTACAGCAGCCAAAACACAATCTGCTCTGCTCACTCCCCTGTGCCTGTACCTAACACTATCCAGGGCCCTAGGGATAATCTTCAAATTCCTTGACACAGAAGATCCTTCATAATCCAACCCCTGCTTATCTTTCAGACTTCCCTTCTCTCCATTCCCAGTCACCATCTCAGCCATGTTTATTTACCTGCAAGTCCCTGGATTCACCACAAATTCCACCATCTCTGTGCCCTGTAAAAATGCTTTCCTCAACTTCTCTTCTCTCCCTCATCCACTTCATGTGGCTAACTCCTAACTCTTCCCCTTCAAACTGTAGCAAAAACATTGCCTGCTGTAAGAAAGATGACATGACACCTCAAAACTCTTCAAGCACTGGCATAGTGCTTGGCATTTACATCTACCAGGGCACAGGCTGCACAGAACTACCAGTTCATTTCTCTACTTTGCTGGAGATTCAATGAAGAAAGAGCCAACATCTTTACAATTATCCCTTCTCAGCCCAGTGCATGGCACACAGTAAATACGCAGTAAATATCTGTTAATTGAATGACTAAAGAATGACAGATACATTCCAGGTTTGTTTGAATCAAACATGATGAGTCAAACATTGTTGTGACTATTCAAATATTTGAAAGCATATACTCTTAAAAGTTAAGTCTCTTAAGTTTAATGTTATTTTTTAAAGGAGGTAAAAGAATTCAAAACATTTTAAAGCTGCTTAGAGAAACATTATAAAATCAAAAATGAAAACTAAAGAACAGATTTCCTTAATATAAAAGAACATTTAACCAAAATGCCAAACCTACCTCTGTAAGCAATATTGCTAGCATATCCTGCCTCTGAAAACGAATAGCCAAGTGTACAAGAGTATAGCCAACATCAAAGGCAGAAGGACGGTTCAGCAAGCGTACTTCGTCTGCAGTGAGCTGACGTGCAATGTCTCCTCCTGATGACTTGTATGCTTCTATAGCAGCTAAATCACCTTCTACAACCCCTAAAACAAGCATCAAGACAGAAAAGCATTTAATTCTCATTTTCTTCAAAAAACACAAACCGTAGCAATCACTCCAAACTCTTTTAAGTGTTTCTCTGTGCTTCCTGGATCCTGATGCATCATTTAAAAGTCCTGTAAGGGTAAGGAAAGTTAGTTTTTTGCTTTCCCTTTAAAAATTTTCTTTCCAGAACTAGAACTGCCTACACATTTACCTTACCATCAGTGCAAGCTCCAGGCTCTGGTGGGATTTAGAGGAATTATTAGACTGTAAGAATTTGATCGAAGATGGATAATCTAGTATAAGAAACCAAACGTCACAAGAGACACTGAGCCCCCAGTTCTGGTCCTGCGTTCATCCTGACTTTGCAGAAACCAAGGAGACAGGGATGTGCTTCCAGCTGGTGTTGAGCTCCTCCTGCCCTTTACACTGCATTCTTAAAGCAGAATCAAAACAAATGCTGAACTTTCCATACTGCTCTTTAGCATTGAAACAACTTGGAGCAACTGAAACCATCTTCACTGTAAGTAAACGTTGGCAACATTTTGATTTCAGATTCTCTCACAGCCAAGTCTTCCTTATACCCATTAAGAATTATTAATAAAGTAAAAGTTGAACCAGATGATTTCAAATAAAATGTGCTAAAATAAAACATTACAATCCAGTTAGAATGGGGGGAAACAGAAACATCACTTCTGCCCAAATCTATAAAGAACATTCCATTACCACTGAGCCATTTTATTAACCTTAACACAAGTTAATGTTAGGTAAATACAGTAATACTGTCTACTAAGCAGTCTGGTAAAGTATGGGTATCAGCCTGGGCTAAAAAAAAAAAAGGTAGATTAGCTTCCAATTTACCACAAAAGGGGTTTAAAGCAACTGTTAAAAAATTATTTGTGGGACCAAATACTTCTAAGTGCTTCCTAAATTACATCAAGACAAATGTGTTTGCTGGATAGAATACTAATACTAGGTAAAAATATTCTTAGTGTACTTTTTAAAAAGTATTTTAATTGCCATCTTGAATTAGGAATTAGATCAGACATATTCCTTAGAATGTAACAGATTGGTAAAATGCAACAATTTTCTACCATTAGTAAAGATAACAAGGCTTCAAAATAATTCCCACATTTACTGAATCCTCATGATATACAGGAACGCCTTGCCAGGCAATATGAGAAGTACAAAGACAGGGAAAATGTGACTCCAATATTCAAAGCAGTCCTTTCTGCAAATTTCGATCCTCTCCAAAAAAAAATGACCCCCTGCCCCAAACACAGACATATACATTCTTCAGGCTGAAAACCAATTATATTAAGAATGCCTACTTATAGGAATTATTTTCACAGCAATGTAGCTTGATAAACTCCTCACTACGCATATAACAAATTCAGCTACATATGCCCCGCCTCCACCCACCTTACACATCCTTATGAGGAACAGTGCGCCCTAGAGAAGTCAAGGTAAAGCTTAATCAAGGACGGCATGAGATAAAGGTTATAAATCTTCCTAAAGGGGCAAGCCTTTCAAATAGACCAGAAAGTGCTACTTGAACTAAAAACAAATCTATGATTGAAGAGTTTTCTATTTCCAGTTATTATGTTCAAATACAAAAAGAACTCTAAAACTTCTGCTTAACTTATTTAATGAACAATTAAGTATAGCCTGGTAGGACCCATAACTTTTAAGATAATTCAATGCAGTTTTCTTTTATTGAGGATTGAGCATGCCCATGCCATTTCCTTCCACTCCACAGCATTTCTGCATGAAGGCAATGACTTTTCCCTTCAGTCTTATCAAAGTCCTTGACTATTTTCAGGTATATGTAGCATCAATGCACCTTTTATAGTCTTTAGTTCTAATCTAAAAATATTATCTACATATAAACTTTTTGTATTACATAAAAAAATGTTCCGAACACTTCCAAAAACAACCCACGAGTCTGAGCAACTTACCTGAAAAAACAAAGAGGAAGAGCTGTACAATGTATGTGTATATATGTGTATGCATGTATGTAGGTGTTTGTATTTAATGTGTTCATGTTTATTTTTTATTTCTCAAAGACAAAGATGAGGTGATCTAAAGCTAAGCACCAAATAACTTCTTTTGCTTGGAAGAAGGCGAGATCTTCAAATCACTTTATTGTTTTTAGCTAACTCACCATATAGCTGAAGTCTAGAAGAATCTCATCTCAGAAATTCTTAAGATTTCCTCTCTAATGTCTCTGAGAGATTTCTGTAATTAGAAGTTAATGAGCACTGGACAGTGGGGTGCAGACTATATAACACAACAAAATTAGCAGATTGTACTTTGGAACTACAATGTACAACATCATCACCCATTCTGCTTTAAGTGCTTTTTAAAAATATAACCAGAACTTCCAATGTTGAACTGCATGGTATGTGAAATTATATCTCAATAAAGCTGATATACACAAACACAACTAGGATTTCTATTTGACCTAATACAAAATTATCAAAAACACTTAATTAGTCCCTCCTACTCCATGCTCTGCATGAAACTACAAACGGGCATACTGCCCATTCCCTAGCATGGCGGACATACAGAAGATGAGGAGAACAGACTCTTCTCAGTTTTTGACAGCACGAAATTCTCCAAACTTCCCAGAGCAGGAAAAACACACATCATTTAAGTATAGGTAAACAATAATATTTAAAAGAAAATTATTCTATTACCTAGTGTTTGGGGAATATGTAATTTCATTCTTTTCATTAAGCATAAAAGTTCATAGTCTCGGTGACTGGTACATTTTCATCTACAAAGATTAGTAAATTTATTACAAATCAAATTTCATGAAAATGTCACTGAACTATCCCAATTTTTGCTATGTCTTTATTGCACACTGCTCAAAGAGAACTTCTGAAAGTTTAGACATTACTTCACAGACAGGTTTTTGTTGTAGATATGGTGTTTAATAGGATTTGGCCCATATGCATATAATTTAAAGTTTTAGCCACCGCATGTTTTCTACTTAAGGAGCAGGGAAAAAGCATCATAATATATGCAAAAAAGGAAAAAAAAAAAAAAAAAACCTTACAAAATATCTGAGTTCTTCACGTAATTACACTTTGAGCACCTTTTAATGTCAGGAGATAAAAAGAATGTAGGAATCAGGTAGAAGAGTTGGTAGACAGGAAAAGACAACAAATAAATGCAAGTGTTAAAATCTCACTTTATAGGACAAAGGCCAGGAAAAAATGAAAAGTTCCAAGAGAAGATAATCAACATATACATGTTTGCTAGGTTACTGACATCTCACAATGCCTCCAAGAGTAACTGAAGCATCTATTTATTTATTTATTTATTTTCTTTTTTTGAGACGGAGTCTCGCTCTGTCACCCAGGCTGGAGTACAGTGACGCAATTTTAGCTTACTGAAAGCAACCTCCGCCTCCCGAGTTCAAGCAATTCTCCTATCTCACCCTCCCGAGTAGCTGAGACTACTGGCGCACACCACCACACCAGCTAATTTCTGTATTTTTAGTAGAGATGGCGTTTCACCATATTGATCAGGCTGGTCTCGAACTCCTGACCTCAGGTGATCCACCCACCTCGGCCCCCCAAAATGCTGGGATTACAGGCGCGAGCCACCGTGCCCAGCCGAAATATCTTTCTCTTAGTACTTTTTTAAAAATTTAACAAACGTGTACTATGCCTTCTGTCCCTTCCTCCTTCATGTTATGAAGACAAAAGGACAGCTGAAGACACTCTGAGATTAATTTTATAAAACTAATCTGCAGTATCATCATACATTCAAAATTGAATGAAATGCACAATCAGCCTAATAGCGAAACATAATTACAAATAAACGGTTAATACACTTCTTAAAACATGAAGGCCTAAGAATAAATGAAAGCCACTATGTTATATATTACTAGCTAAACAGTTAAAAAAATAAAAAGCAAACATATTATTCCGTAAGCTGGGCCAGGAGCAGAGTTTACATATTTTGAAGCCACAGGTCAATGACTCACTGGGGACTTCACAGCTACTATGGAACTCCATTGGTTAGAATTTAGAGCTGGCTCATAGATGTTTAGAAAACAGACTTATTTTTTCCCCCATATATGGCACAGTTTTCAAAGTTTTGCCTTATTTTCCTTTATGACATTAAAATTGTAATGGTTACTAACTTTGAAAAGAATGCCAAATGGTAAAAAAAAAGCCAGGACTTACCTGAGCCCACATGGGCCAGCCCAACACTACCCTGGAGTTCTATGGTAGCTGTGACATCACAGCAGGGTTTATGCTGTGGGGTCAGGGTGGACCTGGAGTCAGCTGGCACAATTTCAGGAACCCTTGAAGAGAAAAGTTAGTTTTAAGTGGTAATGTTCAGAATGTCCTTTACCATGGTCAGAGAAAGATGCAGATGTGGTTTTCCTTTAGCCAGAGTTTAACTCATTTAACTGGTTTTCATATTAAAAGGAAACTACACCCCCCAGTAATACTTTTTTATGTCATAAGCATTTGGCTATCATTTAATCCTGAACCTGGCATAGATATTCACAGGAAATTCTTGAAAAATTAATGAGCTGCTTTTTAAATAAAATGACTTCAATATTTTTTAAAGTGTACCTTCAGGTAGGCAAAAGCACAGGAACAGTCTCGGAAATAATCTGAGCAGGCCAAACCACCTCCTGGTTGTATTTTCCACACAATAATAGCAACAAGTTAAGATCTACTATTTCTATTCCTAGAACAGTGCTACAAACAATAACCTATTAAAAAGATCAACAGATGAAAATCAAAATTATAAACAAATTCTTAAATTTAATCTATATTATAATATCAAGTCTAGCTTGTATTCAATAACCTCACTGTCCATTATTAAAACATCCTCTTTAGAAAAATAAAAGATTCAATGAGAGAAGGAAGTCAAATATTCGCTAATTAAAACTTTTTAAATTATCTGTAAGTTGTGACAAACTATGTCAAATATAGTCTATACTACTGAGCTCTTTTCTCCTTACATCTTTGAT